GCTTGAGAGCATTACATGGAGAACCAATGTCTCTGTCCTTGCTGTATACGAAACTGTTCTGTTATAAAGATAAAACTGAAACACCGATATACAGGAATGATCATGAGCTGTTGAAGGTATTTCGTAGCCTCGGAAGGGGCGGTCGGGTCGCCTAGTGGTTAAAGCGTTCGCTCGTCACGCCGAAGACCCGGGTTCGATTCCCGACCTGGGTACAATATGTGAAGCCCATTTCTGGTGTCCCCCGCCGTGATATTGCTTGAATATTGCTAAAAGCGGCGTAAAACCATACTCTTAGTGTGGACAGCGTATACTTTGGCCTATACCGAAGTTATTTAAATGATATTGTGGATTCATTATAACCGGAACTAATCTTCATCTGAAATAGTTGATGACGACATGGATGGCTACCTGGATGAGGACTGCGCCACAACTATTCCAGGTAAATGTTTCCACATGTTAAAATGACTTCAAGCCCATATCTCCAATTGAAAAGTAAAGGGACCCGTTTTGGTCAACAAGATGTCAAATTGCATAATTTAAGAATGAGCAAAAGTTCAGAAATTTTACATCGCGAATTCGAATAAGAAGAATGGGATATAACAATGTTCAACATTTGCAAATTTTGGACATTTAACACCATGAAATGTCGAGGTAAGGATGAAACATAAAATAATACAATTAAAAAGGACAAATAAGCTTATTTTAGGAGTATTATTAGATTCTTACTTGTATTGATTATAGAATTTCTCTCGAAGAGATATCGTCTCTTTTAACTCATTGAAGCCAATTCTTGTGTCGGTCATATGGACATGCTCAATAATTGTCATAACAAGGGTTATCTTAATTTTAAAGTATGACATTTCCAGCATGCCAAAACGGGCCCTTATCACATACTATGTTCCTGGAGGCCTAATGACACCGCCTGTGAACTGTGTGAATATTTTTATCATTGATTAAAGGGTTGAATACTTTGAGACGCGTGCCAATTGAATTGTAGTATTTATACACTCCTGTCCTTTAATGGTTTATAATGTAAAAAAATCAATATTTTGATTTTGACATTGGTCAATGTTTATATTTTTTTGGTAAAAGTTGAACAGAATTCAGATTTTAATGTTTTACCTTTCACCGTGAGAAGATATCGGTTATCAAGTACATTCACATTGTGTAGTCTTAATATAAACATAATCATATCAATAAATCCTGAACCGATTTATGAACTACATTAGCATAGAGCTCTCACAAAGAGGTCATTGGAGGTAAGAAAATAATTATGTGTGCGATGAGGGTTGATGCATTCAGTGTGAAAAAAACCCACCCTTAACATTATTTTCAGTATATTTACCATGCATTGTAATGTCGCATTGTCGCGCTTTCCAAAAAGAAGAAGCAAGTTTTAGTTTTAGTTTTTCACAATCGATATACAATTTGAACGGAAAAACTAGATTTCACAGATTCTCACACACAAATACAGGATACCAGGCAATCCTTTATCCATCCATTCATTTTAATCTCCGAATTTTTGCCATCAATGTCAAATTACCTTTACAAGCGGTGACACATGGTTCACGTTTGTGTGCGGTTGTTTTAAAACTGTGATGCATCGACTCTTTCCATGGGCCTAACGGATTCGACAATCTGTCCATGTTTCCACACAGTTGACGGTTTCTGGTCTGACTGGGGTGCGTGGGGAGACTGCAGCCAAGACTGTGGGGAGGGGATGCAGACTCGGACAAGATCGTGTGACGCTCCCGCCCCAGCCTTCGATGGTCAACCGTGTGCAGGAGACAATAACGACACACAGCTATGTGTAATCTCTTCCCCGTGTTACAACCCGGCATTAGGTAATATAATCTAACTTTATTGCACCGTTTTTTAGTGAAACCATAATCGTCCGGACTAACACATGCCCGCATTAACGAATCGTTGGTAAGTCCCCTCAGTAAATACATAATACTTCCTAACAACATACTGAGGTTTCCACATAAATAAAAACCGACACAACGGGATTTCTATGCATGTTAAGTGCATATAAGTCTTTAATTTTGGACTGGTATGATACCAGGTTTGACATTTGGAGATAAATGACATCGTTCAGTATTTACCATATTTGCTTTTTCTGGACACCATCATATCTTTTGTGATATACATTACTCTAAAGAAGTTCAAGGTCATCTGATTCTTTCATATCACTACACTTAATCAGTCATGGATCATATATAGTAAAATGAAAAGATCGGGCATAACAGATTAACAATTAAATTGATAGAACCCGGTGTTCTTTAACTTCTTTGAGTAGAAAACCATAACCTGTAACGAAACATACCAGCTTTGCATTCTTGTCATCACATGTGTGTGGTAAATGTTGCAAATCTGTCATTCAGATCATAACTTCCTAACACCGTGGATCTGTATTCATCATCGAGAACATGTATCCCTTCCTTATTATCACGCTTGGTATTTAACTCCTGTATTTCCAACATATATGTGGTAAGCGTCTGCATATAACCTTACACTTCCAGGTACCTTTCACAGATCTTTACAAGACGAGGCGGTTTCGTCCCTTGTTAAGCACTGACTGTGAAACGTGAAACTTATCGGGTACAGTACGCTGACTTGCACCAAGTTGACGTGTGCCGTAATACGTTCGACAATTTACAGAGGTTACTGTCATAATTAGACACTAAACGATTAAGCCAGACACGTGTGTTAATACTTAAAGACATCAAACACAATTCACGTGTAACATTTTTTTAGAGGCATTTAGAAGTTGGAGTACTAAGTAAGGATAAGTTATATGTATGAACAACTTCTTTATTGCAAGTAGGAGCAACATTTCTGTGTAGGTTCTCACACGTTCACTTGCTTGATAACGGTGTTAGAACCTACACCGAAACGTCGCTCCTAATTGTAATAAAGAAGTTGTTCATCCATACATCTTATCCTAACTTCTTCACTAGTGTTCCTTGCATAATGTCGAAAGTAAATAAAGTCAAATTTATCTCACTGCTGTGTTGACGAATCGGATATTTTGGGGGGGCAAACATATTAACATACCAAGCTACTGGACAAGGTTAAGCTACAGTGAGGTATAATACATACATTGCAACTTTCAGTTTAAAGTACTTAGGTTCATGTTATATGTCTGTGCGGGGATAGTTTGAGATATTCTCACATCAACGATATGTCTTTCTGTCCCAACAGAAACTACACTGCTGGGAAAAAGAAAGCATACATCAATGTTTGTTGGTGGCTAAAAATGAAACAGATAAGAAATGGTTATTCGATGGTGAGATAATATACAGATATTATTGTTATGTTTTGGATCATAAGGTTGCAGTGTTGTAGCGACAGTTTTCAGTCTAGTAACGATCAATAACGTTTATAAGTTTGTGGACAACTCCCAAAAGCATCCCAAAAGTCATTGTGGAATAAATGGTTTTGCTCCGAATATTACATCAGTTCCTTTTAGGGTAGGTGAGATGAGGTGAAGTGAAATGGGGTTTAACGTCGCGTCCAAGATTATTGCACTTCTATAGCGACGTGTATGCACGTGTATGTGTGTGTGTGGCTGCTTGTACTAGTCCGGACTGATGCCGATTAATAGAGCTAGCACACTGTGATACCATGCCGCAGTTTAACATGAATACCCAACTCAGACACAGTATACTGTCCTTGTTTTAGCCCCTTAATGCCGAGTAACAACAAGTACCATCTTTTAACGTCTTTGGGTATGACGCGGCTGGGGAATTGAACCCCGGACCTTCCTCCAGACGGACGCTCTACCATTAGACCACGGAGGCGGTCCCCTTTTGGGATAAGAATGGGAATATGTTGAATATAGCAAATAATATCAAAACCTATAATTCAAACCATACAATATTTTATTGAAGTGAATAATTGTAAACATAAACAAAATGGGTACAATCACAAATTACCACACACGATCATAATAAAATGGGAACAATAAAAAAGTGTCTCTTTAACAAGTCGAATTTCGAAGAGCAATTATACAAACACTATATTTTGTAATATATGGGAATATTCGCACGCACAATACACTGTATATCACAGACTAACTACAAGATCTATATAAGCAATATACTAAATACAAAAGTGGACAAAGTGACAAAACTACATTTAAAGTAACACGCCTGAGGTTGACTTGCTATACAAGAGGGCGCAAGTAGGATCATCATGATCCCACTCTATTTCCTCTTCCGCCAAAAGTAATCATTGGCGTAGCAGCGAATCTTCTGACAATTGCAGGCATACGGAAGGATGATTCTCTCCCTGGAGATCTGAGTGAGTGCTGGGAGACCTTCACAGAAGGCCCACACGGAGAAGTACTGAAACTGGCGGATACACCTAGACTGGCTGCCGCTACTTGAGAAGAAGTGGTCACAGTTCTGGCAGCGAACAGAACTGAAAGAAAGTCAAATGCACAATAAATCATCGTTTTCATAATTTTGTGGTAATATCAGACCTTCCAATGGTGCATAATTGTGCACGAGTATAATTTTCAATTTTTATGCAGTTACAATACATTATTCATTCATGAGTGAGTTTGGTTGAACGGCGCTTAACAGTGGCATTTCAGCTTTAACACGTAATTGTCTGAGATTCGAACTTAGGAACATAGGAGTCTTATATGACAGGACCACCCCTGCCCACTTCACATTCAAGGTTAATCGGTATATTCATGGCACAGTTAACACCAATCACCAACGAGTGTGAATTAAACCATGACCGCTTCAGTTGTCATCGTTCTTAAGATAGCTTCTCAAAGCTCCTTGTGACAAATGATTGGCATATATGATTAATAATTATATCTTCGGCCTTGTGTTGGAACACTATGCATTATTTTCAATTGATATGACAAAGACAAAGTTGTTGTTATTGTTGTTCTATTGTCGTAATAGGGAGGTAGATATGCAAACAAATCCTACCCGCACACAGTAAAGTTGACCATTTCTTGGACATTCTGTATTAACCAACATCTTGCATTGTAACGGAAGAAACTCCAAAGCATGGGGTTAGCCGAGGGGCAGGTTTGCTTGACGACTGTAAGCCTGGAATGATAAGCAATACATCAGACTGAATTGAGATTATACAACTCCGAATGCATAGATATGACAAGTGCCAGTACATCAGATCATTATAGAAATGCAAACTATGTGTGTACCATACGTGATTGTGCTTTGAGCTCAGGTTTATTAATAACTCACTATATTCGTCAAAAAGTTGCTACCATTAGTTTTCTACATTATCCACGAAACCAATTTTTCAATGGTTTAAATATATATATTTCTTTTTTAATAATTAAATAAAATGAACATTTTGAGAGTTCGAACGCTACATTCTATGTACTTACACAGGATCTGCGGGTACTTTAGGTGCGGTTGGGAGGACAACCTCTCTCGCTAAGCAGTTGAGAAGGTCGGGTCTATTTACCAGTTCAAGGTTGATGGCATCTCTGTGGAGGTTATGAAAAGAATAATGATCATTTTTGTATGTTGACAAGTACCGAATTTTGTTGCTTATCGCCACACTCGACAATATTCCAGCTACACGACGTTGGTATGTAAATAATCGTGTCTGGACCAGCCGTCCACGCAATACCACGATGGTGTATCAACAGAGTTACCGAGCCTGACCACCTCATCCCGTTAGTCACCTCTTACGACAAACATGCGTTGATGAAGATCAATTCTAACCCGGACCTTCACGAGTTCAAACAACAGATGTTGTATCTTAAGATATGATCTAAAATATATCGATACATATTAAAGGTCCACAACATAGAATACCAAGTCTAGATTATCCGACGAAACATATACCATTGGGCGTAAAAGACAAAATAGCGGGGGAAACTATCTGAATGGATCACTGAACATCAGTGATGACAGTGATGTTCGCGAAAAGAAATACACTTCGACATGGTATGGTGCCATATTTTCGTCTGGCAAAAGTGATTTCATCAAGCCGTACTTACATTGGGTACCCGGTAGGATCGCTAGACAGAAGGAGATCAGCTGAGAAGTCGGTCTGATTGGGACAGTTGTCGGTGCTGACATGTGTGTTGGTGTTGAAGCCGTATCCGGTATTGAAATTATTGCTATGGAAAAATCCGTTGTTGAAGTATTGGTTGTTATTGGCGATGTCGTTGTTGCCGCTGACGCCGCTAGCAGCTGGTGCAGTTGCAGCAGCAACGTTGATTGTGACCGGCGGCGGCGGAGTGACGGCTGAGCCAGGGAGGGCTACTCCGCCCCCACCACCGATAAACTGCCCTGATGCCATCGCAGGTAGAGACAGAGTCACCAATAACAGGTACATCTGAAATTATGAAATTCAATTATTAACGAAACGTTTTAGAATTTAACTACATTTTATACGAACGTCAGAAATATTTCTTTATTAATTTGTACCTAAGTTAAAACGATCTGTTTCGTTATTTTGTTGACATCTCGCGAAAAAAGTAGAAAGAAATATATATCATAAAACGTCAATTCATTTAGAGTAATAGAAATCGTATCTCTTGTACAGTATAAGCATAGCGAGTAGAAATATTGTGTTGAACGCTGTAATCATGTTAGTTCACGGCGGCCTGTTGTTGATCGGATCTGGATCGGGTCTGAAGCACATAAACCAGTGGTTGATTATCATGCTCGTTGATCCGCGCCGTCGGGGTACGATGACACGCAATCAACCAAGTCACCAATCCTGACCATCTGATTCATTAAATCGCTTCGCATGACAAGCGTTGGTTGCTATCATATCCTGAACGTATACCCATACAGAAGCATTATAGCTACCAAATCAAAACCTACACTCGTGATGAACTGGTAATATTCTTGAAATTACATTACTCTCTCCATTCATTGCTGCGTGAATTACGTTTCAAGTATTAAACCACCAGAAAACCTCAAAATACATAAATATATATTGATATAAATAACTGATATATCATTGAGAACATTATTGTCGGAAATTATGGAAACATTGCGACTTACCATCATGTTGCTGTAGGCTACTGAACAAGACCGTATAACTGATTGCTGTAGATGACTCTCCAACTGATTGATGCTAAACACACCAAACTATGGTCTTTATATACCAGAAAACTAAGGGCAATAAACCTACCCCCATGGTCATAACCACCATAAAGAATGTCAAGTAAACACTGCCTACATGTGACGAAAAGGATACATAATAGAGATGGATTTGGCCGCTAGTTAGGTACAAACAAGCACCTATTTCTCCTCTAATCGTTATTACATTGGTAACGGACAGGAATTACTTTGACCATCTTTACATGGTCACTAAAGGGTAGAGACTCCGGCCGTGACGCTGCCCATCTCTACTCATATAGGCTTAAGGTAATGATAGTACAAGCAGTGATAAATCAGTCAAGGTTGTTTGAGTTAATCAAATAGCCGATTGGGTCTATTTCAGTTTGAAATTTGTATGTAGAAGATAAAGCTGTTTAAGAATAATCATCTTGTATGGGGTTGTATGGAAAATAGGTACCTGGTATCCTGTTGATTTCGTAATCATTGTTATCATTTGCCACGTAGAAGCATTAACATGGGTGTGTATATTGGAACACGTGTGCATTTCTACTTGTATTTTCACGATTAAATGCAAGATTATACATTTAAATTATCTTCATTTTCTTATTGTACACTTTGCTTTGAAATGACTTATTTAAATACATGATTTAAATGGTGAATGCACTTTAAAATTGTGTTTAGATCCTAAACACAAACCTTAACACGGTCTTTGTCCAAAAGTGAGAAAGACCCGTGTCTCTCTCCCCCCCCCCCCCCCCCCCCCTTGAAATTGATAGTAGGTAATTTTAAAGAAGGCGCTTACTAAGTGTCTGTTTTTAAAGCATATAATGTAGATATAGATGTATGGGGGTAATTAAAATCTTTAGGGTATGTCGTAGTAATCAGATATACTTTCATTGCTTCCCTTTCCTGTATGAGACCCGTGAAGAACCGGGGTAGAATAGGTCTTCAGCAAGCCATTGTTGCAACTATGCTTGTCGTAAAAGGCGACTAACGGGATCGGGATTGATGTATGTCGTCGTATCCCAATTGCGTGGATCGATGCTCATTATATTAATCACTGGATTTTCTGGTCCAGACTCGATTATTTAAAGACCGCCGATAAAAAGCTTGAATATTGCTGAGTGCGGCGTTAAACAGCAAACAAACAAACAAAACAAACTTTCCTGTATGACAGAAATACTACTCGTCATACAGCAACAAACACATTTAGGAATACAACACTTTTAGAGTACCGGGATAAGTACCTGCAACCTCTTGACTTGTAGTCCTTCACCTGTGCTGCGGAGTGTGTTGTCACAAATGTTAATATGTTCCTAGTCACAATAATAATAATAATAATAATAATAATAATAATAATAATAATAATTATTTGTACATTTTAATGTTAATATTCTGCCAGGTGTGGCTCCTGCTGGTATATGTGTTATGCGAGTGCATCTGAATCTGATTTGTACATCTAATTTCAATACATATTTTACATCGTATACATATTTGGGTTAATGCCAAATGACGTGCACTTTAATTAACAAGTTTAGATTATTAGGATAATACAAAATTATATCCATTTGTCGTAAACATGTTTCAACTCTGTACATGTTTAGATTAGGGAATGTTACCTTTACGTCGTGTTTAGGGTTTTGAGAAGATAGCTCATTCCATGTGTTTAGACCCTGTACGTTATAGATCACACAAAATGTTTATTCCGTTTATGATTTAAACACATTCCTGTACATGGTAAGATCTAAACATGTCTTGTATGTATACTCACAGTACTCCTATTCAAGATCTATTATATTGATGTACAAACGAGCATATTAGTATATTGCGTGAACGCATCACATGTGACTTCATACATCGGGATGCCCGGTCATCTAATGCAGGGTTGGATTTAACACCGCTTTGAACAGTATTCCAGTTATATAACGCCGTGTCATCTTTATGTAGTAGGGAACCCTCCGGGATGCAGGTCTCAGACCTTTAACACTTTGGAGAAACACACGAGCACGAGTATGGTGCTGACAAACCTAGAAATATAATCGAACCGGGATTCGAACCCACGAATAGATTAGAGGTTTCTTACACGCGCGAGATTGTTATTCAAGTATTATATTTTATATCATTGTTTCGAGAACTTAGCCGCGGGCCAAAGAAAGTATACACCCATGTTTGATGGTAGATAAAAATGAATTAAACAAGATATGGCGGTGGTGGTGTACTTTGTGTGTTCTGGACCTTACGTTTGCACTGTTTCGGCAACAGTTTCACCCTAGTAACGATCTGATAACGTTGTGATATTTTTAAGTGTATACCTTTTTTGCCTGACAGTAATACCTGTTGTCTACAGGTTGACAGTGTAGATAACAAGTACTGCAAAGTGTAAATCGTTTCTAAATCATTTGTTTTTAAAATATATAGAGGTTATCACGCGAGTGTGTTTGGGGATGGTAAATATCCTGCATTAGGAATAAACATTGTATTTAGCGAGCCTTGGCGAGCTAAATACATAGTGTTTATTCCTAATACAGGATATTTACCATCCGCAAACACACAAGCGTGATAACCTCTTTATCATATAATGTCATTCTTTAATTCTGTGCTTCAAAATCGATTTCCCTCTCTCACATATATTAGCGAAACGTTGCGAGTTTTCCTGGAATGCGCGCATTAATATTTATTACGTCACAGGGTAAGTGATGTGTCAGTCGGACAGTGACAGTAGCCAATATAGTTCCAACTGAAATCTGTTTTCTTATACAGTGGCGAAGCAGCATACAACACGCAAAACAACAATTGTTTTTATTTGCCTTTCGCGGCAATCCATCGGTCTCTCCGCTAGAGTAACTGCCCTTTGTCAAAGGGAAGCTACTCTAACCCTAGTCTATGAGACGTCACGGCCACGGTCAGACGTTGTTGACAGCCGGTCTGTCCTGTCATAACGTTAAGAAGTGTAGTCAGATGTACACACAACGACAAAACGAAACAAGGTAACAATTCAAACATATTTCGGCCAAATCCAACTATTTTAATTTGTGGAGAAGGTTTCAAGCCGCAGAGGTCTACAAGCACAGATATGGCTACTAATCCCACTTGGCTAAGCCTCGTGCTATCGCAAAATTGTTTCGAAATTTATATCTCTAAAGTTGCCAAAACTTATAAAATGCCTTCGCTACGTCACAGTTAGAGACGGATTTTCTGTATATTAGGCTGTTCTTTTGATAATGATAGCAATTATCCCTGTAGTTTATCCAGTTTCCCGATGGTTAATTCTGACTCGATCGCCGAATGACGAGGGTGACGCCATGTTTGTTTATAAACAGTGAAAGTAGTCCCTACTTGACCTTTGATATTTGCATCTCTATCCGCATATGACCCAAACGGATATCGTTTTTATCCGTTGGCTTTATCTTGCCGAGAAACCTACCCATTATATGATAAATTGTTATATTTGTTCGGAATTCATACATTCAGACAAGTTCACTTCAAGGCACATGGATCTTTTAATATTGTTGTAAATGTACGGCGGATTTTAGAGAACGATGTATAGTATTAACATGCCTTGCATATTGAGTCAGGTGGCTTGAGCTGACGTATGGTTCGTGTATGACGATTCGTGTATTGGATGTGTATGACGATACTTTCATGAAATATTACACGCAGAATTTTGATCCGAGCCCATATCATGATCACTGAACAACCACTATACATTGTACCTGTCATGATGGCGAACACTGACGTCGACGTTACGTTGATGGACACGTCTCCAAACACGACCACGCTAGTAACAGAAGGGTGAATCTGGATCCGTCTGATAACATCACACGTGACCATCATCTATATCCACGCAGTGCCTGAGTTGTCTGCGCCTCGATTCCTGGCGAGTGGTGTCGATCCTGTCCTGATCAACGTTCTGTGTCTGTCAAATGTGTGCCACAGTCTGTTAAGCACTGACTGTGAAACGTGAAACTTATCGGGTACAGTACGCTGACTTGCACCAAGTTGACGTGTGCCGTAATACGTTCGACAATTTACAGAGGTTTCTGTAATAATTAGGGGGCGATGGTGGCCCAGTCGTCTAAGGCGCCGCGATTCGCTGTGCAGAGTTATGTTTCTAGGTTTGTCAGCACCATACCCGTGCTCGTGGGTTTCACCGAAGTGGTAAACGTGATATAACTGGAATACTGTTAAAAGCGGCGTTAAACCCAACTCACTCACTCACTCACTCACTGTAATAATTAGAAACTAAACGAGTACACGATGGTACAGTGTCTGGTCACGGGCACTAAAGCCCGCTGTATTAATGACATGTACGTATATGTTTATACACGTAAATACATTTGTTAGCAGCTGTGTATCTAGCTATAACATATGTACGTATACATGTTACAGTCAATGACTATAATTAGGCAATATGTATAATGACTGAACATTTTAGTCAATACACATATTGCCTGATTATATACATTGACTGTAACATAATACATTGTACATTGTCATTGCCGTCATCATCTATAGCAACATTCGAGCCCTGGATATAAATTGATGAATTGTTGTCTGAGGCAAAACGTTCAATACATCTCAAACTACTAAACTAGCCTCTACTTTGTGTCAATTGGTCAAACAACTAACCTCATGTTTCCTCGGAGTGAGTATCACCACATGAAGCTCCTGAAAATGATTCTGACATGGCAGGTTAGAGCCCTGCATTCTGAACGGTCAACCAGCGGTATCGAATCAACGTAAGAATACGACTTAGCTGATGACCGATCCTCAAGAGAATATATATATATAGACAGTTTTCGCACTGCTTTCGCATATCCTCCCGGTAGGCAATTTCATTACAGATCCTATTTCAGAAATGTTACTGAATACCATGTTCCCCTTCCTAAATTATTCAAAACAACAGTTGCAATATATCTGAAGCGAAACACTCGATGAAAGACTACGAGAATGTATTGTCAAATTCCATATAATATAATAGTCGTTCATCGAGTGTTTATTTATTTATTAATTGAATATTACTGTTATTATATCACATCATCACATACAATGACGTCATTTGCTGTAGAACATTATGTCATCTTAATATCGGGGTGTACTTCAGTACTAAACATTGTATGGGTCGTTTGATGTTCTCTGATGATGACTGATGACTCTGATTGAATAATACTTACATGATATCTGCGCTAGATGAGATCGTTCACGTCTGAATTATGGATATATGAAAGTAAACATAAACGTTTGTCCATTAACTCAAAGTCGTTAAGCTACGGTGAGTTTGTAGGCCAAGACAAAGAACGCTAAATGAGCAATAAGTATGTAATAGTTTTTTACGTTCATTAGTTTTTAATTTCAACTTCAGACGGAGCCACCGCGAGCAAGACACGTGTGTTAATACTTAAAGACATCATACACAATTCACGGGTAACTTTTTTTGAGAGGCATTTAGAAGTTGAAGTTCTAAGTAAGGATAAGATATATGTATGAACAACTTCTTTATTGCAAGTAGGAGCAACATTTCTGTGTAGGTTCTCACACGTTCACTTGCTTGATAACGGTGTTAGAACCTACACCGAAACGTCGCTCCTAATTGTAATAAAGAAGTTGTTCATCCATACATCTTATCCTAACTTACTTCACTAGTGTTCCTTGCATAATGTCGAAAGTAAAAAAAGTCAAATTCTATCTCACTGATGTGTTGACGAATAGGAGATTTGTGTTTTGGCAAACATATTAACATACCAAGCTACTGGACAAGGTTAAGCTACAGTGAGGTATAATACATATATTGCAACTTTCAGTTTAAAGTACTTAGGTTCATGTTATATGTCTGTGCGGGGATAGTTTGAGATATTCTCACATGAACGATATATCTTTCTATCCCAACAGAAACTACACTGCTGGTAAAAAGAATGCATACATCAATGTTTGTTGGTGGCTAAAAATTGAAACAGATAAAAAATGGTTATTCGATGGTGAGATAATATACAGATATTATTGTTATGTTTTGGATCATAAGTTTGCACTGTTGTAGCGACAGTTTTCAGTCTAGTAACGATCAATAACGTTTATAAGTTTGTGGACAACTCCCAAAAGCATCCCAAAAGTCATTGTGGAATAAATGGTTTCGCTCCGAATGTTACATTAGTTCCTTTTGAGATAGGTGAGGTGAGGTGAGGTGAGGTGAGGTGAAATGGGGTTTAACGTCGCGTCCAAGATTATTGCACTTTTATAGCGACGTGCATGCACGTGTATGTGTGTGTGTGTGGCTGCTTGTACTAGTCCGGACTGATGCCGATTAATAGTGCTAGCACACTGTGATACCATGCTGCAGTTTAACATGAATACCCAACTCAGACACAGTATACTGTCCTTGTTTTAGCCCCTTAATGCCGAGTAACAACAAGTACCATCTTTTAACGTCTTTTGGTATGACGCGGCTGGGGATCGAACCCCGGACCTTCCGCTCTCCAGACGGACGCTCTACCATTAGACCACGGAGGCGGTCCCCTTTTGGGATAAGAATGGGAATATGTTTAATAATATCAAAACCTATAATTCAAACCATACAATATTTTATTGAAGTGAATAATTGTAAACATAAACAAAATGGGTACAATCACAAATTACCACACACGATCATAATAAAATGGGAACAATAAAAAAGTGTCTCTTTAACAAATCGAATTTCGAAGAGCAATTATACAAACACTATATTTTGTAATATATGGGAATATTCGCACGCACAATACACTGTATATCACATACTAACTACAAGATCTATATAAGCGATATACTAAAAAATACAAAAGTGGACAAAGTGACAAAACTACATTTAAAGTAACACGCCTGAGGTTGACTTGCTATACAAGAGGGCGCAAGTAGGATCATCATGATCCCACTCTATTTCCTCTTCCGCCAAAAGTAATCATTGGCGTAGCAGCGAATCTTCTGACAATTGCAGGCATACGGAAGGATGATTCTCTCCCTGGAGATCTGAGTGAGTGCTGGGAGACCTTCACAGAAGGCCCACACGGAGAAGTACTGAAACTGGCGGATACACCTAGACTGGCTGCCGCTACTTGAGAAGAAGTGGTCACAGTTCTGGCAGCGAACAGAGCTGAAAGAAAGTCAAATGCACAATAAATCATCGTTTTCATAATTTTGTGGTAATATCAGACCTTCCAATGGTGCATACTTGTGCACGAGTATAATTTTCAATTTTTATGCAGTTACAATACATTATTCATTCATGAGTGAGTTTGGTTGAACGGCGCTTAACAGTGGCATTTCAGCTTTAACACGTAATTGTCTGAGATTCGAACTTAGGAACATAGGAGTCTTATATGACAGGACCACCCCTGCCCACTTCACATTCAAGGTTAATCGGTATATTCATGGCACAGTTAACACCAATCACCAACGAGTGTGAATTAAACCATGACCGCTTCAGTTGTCATCGTTCTTAAGATAGCTTCTCAAAACTCCTTGTGACAAATGATTGGCATATATGATTAATAATTATATCTTCGGCCTTGTGTTGGAACACTATGCATCATTGACATCTGATATTAAGACAACGTTTTTGTTATTGTTGTTCTATTGTCGTAATAGGGAGGTAGATATGCAAACAAATCCTACCCGCACACAGTAAAGTTGACCATTTCTTGGACATTCTGTATTAACCAACATCTTGCATTGTAACGGAAGAAACTCCAAAGCATGGGGTTAGCCGAGGGGCAGGTTTGCTTGACGACTGTAAGCCTGGAATGATAAGCAATACGTCAGACTGAATTGAGATTATACAACTCCGAATGCATAGATATGACAAGTGCCAGTACATCAGATCATCATAGAAATGCAAACTATGTGTGTACCATACGTGATTGTGCTTTGAGCTCAGGTTTATTAATAACTCACTATATTCGTCAAAAAGTTGCTACCATTAGTTTTCTACATTATCCACGAAACCAATTTTTCAATGGTTTAAATATATATATTTCTTTTTTAATAATTAAATAAAATGAACATTTTGAGAGTTCGAACGCTACATTCTATGTACTTACACAGGATCTGCGGGTACTTTAGGTGCGGTTGGGAGGACAACCTCTCTCGCTAAGCAGTTGAGAAGGTCGGGTCTATTTACCAGTTCAAGGTTGATGGCATCTCTGTGGAGGTTATGAAAAGAATAATGATCATTTTTGTATGTTGACAAGTATCGAATTTTGCTGCTTAACGTCACACTCGACAATATTCCAGCTACACGACGTCGGTATGTAAATAATCGTGTCTGGACCAGCCGTCCACGCAATACCATGATGGTGTATCAACAGAGTTACCGAGCCTGACCACCTCATCCCGTTAGTCACCTCTTACGACAAACATGCTTTGATGAAGATCAATTCTAACCCGGACCTTCACGAGTTCAAACAACAGATGTTGTATCTTAAGATATGATCTAAAATATATCGATACATATTAAAGGTCCACAACATAGAATACCAAGTCTAGATTATCCGACGAAACATATACCATTGGGCGTAAAAGACAAAATAGCGGGGGAAACTATCTGAATGGATCACTGAACATCAGTGATGACAGTGATGTTCGCGAAAAGAAATACACTTCGACATGGTATGGTGCCATATTTTCGTCTGGCAAAAGTGATTTCATCAAGCCGTACTTACATTGGGTACCCGGTAGGATCGCTAGACAGAAGGAGATCAGCTGAGAAGTCGGTCTGATTGGGACAGTTGTCGGTGCTGACATGTGTGTTGGTGTTGAAGCCGTATCCGGTATTGAAATTATTGCTATGGAAAAATCCGTTGTTGAAGTATTGGTTGTTATTGGCGATGTCGTTGTTGCCGCTGACGCCGCTAGCAGCTGGTGCAGTTGCAGCAGCAACGTTGAATGTGACCGGCGGCGGCGGAGTGACGGCTGAGCCAGGGAGGGCTACTCCGCCCCCACCACCGATAAACTGCCCTGATGCCATCGCAGGTAGAGACAGAGTCACCAATAACATGTACATCTGAAATTATGAAACTCAATTATGAACGAAACGTTTTAGAATTTAACTACATTTTATACGAACGTCAGAAATATATTTCTTCATTAGTTAAAACGATCTGTTTCGTTATTTTGTTGACATCTCGTGAAAAAAGTCGAAAGAAATATATATAATATAAAACGTCAATTCATTTAGAGTAATAGAAATCGTATCTCTTGTACAGTATAATCATAGTGAGTAGAAATATTGTGTTGAACGCTGTAATCATTTTTGTTCACGGCGGCCTGTTGTTGATCGGATCTGGATCGGGTCTGAAGCACATAAACCAGTGGTTGATTATCATGCTCGTTGATCCGCGCCGTCGGGGTACGATGACACGCAATCAACCAAGTCACCAATCCTGACCATCTGATTCATTAAATCGCTTCGCATGACAAGCGGTGGTTGCTATCATATCCTGAACGTAAACCCATACAGAAGCATTATAGCTACCAAATCAAAACCTACACTCGTGATGAACTGGAAATATTCTTGAAATTACATTACTCTCTCCATTCATTGCTGCGTGAATTACGTTTCAAGTATTTAACCACCAGAAAACCACAAAATACATAAATATATATTGATATAAATTCAACACATGCTTGAACATTACTGATATATCATTGAGAACATTATTGTCGGAAATTATGGAAACATTGCGACTTACCATCATGTTGCTGTAGGCTTCTGAACAAGACCGTGTAACTGATTGCTGTAGATGACTCTCCAACTGATTGATGCTAAACACACCAAACTATGGTGTTTATATACCAGAAACACAAGGGCAATAAACTCACCCCCATGGTCATAACAACCATTAAGAATGTCAAGTAAACACTGCCTACATGTGACGAAAAGGAGTGTTTAGGGTACATAATAAAGATGGATTTGGCCGCTAGTTGGGTACAAACAAGCACCTATTTCTCCTCTAATCGTTATTACATTGGTAACGGGCAGGAATTACTTTGACCATCGCCCACTACCGTGCAGTCTTTACATGGTCACTAAAGAGTAGAGACTCCGGCCGTGACGCTGCCCATCTCTACTTATATAGGCTTAACGTAATGATAGTACAAGCAGTGATATATCAGTCAAGGTTGTTTGAGTTAATCAAATAGCCGATTGGGTCTTTTTCAGTTTGAAATTTGTATGTAGAAGACAAAGCTGTTTAAGACTAATCATCTTGTATGGGGTTGTATGGAAAATAGGTGTCTGGTACCCTGTGGATTTCGTAATCATTGTTATCATTTGCCACGTAGAAGCATCAACATGGGTGTGTATATTGGAACACGCGTGCATTTCTACTTGTATTTTCATGATTAAATGCAAGATTATGCATTTAAATTATCTTCATTTTCTTAATGTACACTTTGCTTTGAATCCCTTTGGATTGCGTAATCATTGTTATCATTTGCCACGTAGGAGCATTAACATGGGTGTGTATATTGGAACACGTGTGCATTTCTACTTGTATTTTCATGATTAAATGCAAGATTATACCTTTAAATTATCTTCATTTTCTTACTATACACTTTGCTTTGAAATGACTTATTTAAATGCATGATTTAAATGGTGCATGCACTTTAAAATTGTGTTTAGATCCTAAACACAAACTTTAACACGGTCCTTGTCCCAAAGTGAGAAAGACCCGTGTCTCTACGCCCCCTCCCCCCCCCCCCCCCCCCCCCTTAAAATTTATAGTAGGTATTTTAAACAAGGCGCTTACTATGTGTCTGTTTTTGAAGCGTATTATGTAGATATAGATGTATGGGGGTAATTAAAATCTTAAGGGTCTGTCGTAGTAATCAGATATACTTTCATTGCTTCCCTTTCCTGTATGAGACCCGTGAAGATCCGGGGTAGAATAGGTCTTCAGCAAACCATTAATATCCATTGTTGCGACTATGCTTGTCGTAAAAGGCGACTAACGGGATCGGGATTGAGGTATGTCGTCGTATCCAAATTGCTCGGATCGATGCTTATTACATCAATCACTGGATTTTCTGGTCCAGACTCGATTATTTACAGACCGCCGATAAAAAGCTTGAATATTGCTAAGAGCGGCGTTAAACAGCAAACAAACAAACAAAACAAACTTTCCTGTATGACAGAAATACTACTCGTCATACAGCAACAAACACATTTAGGAATACAACACTTTTAAAGTACCGGGATAAGTACCTGCAACCTCTTGATTTGTAGTCCTTCACCCTACCGCCTGTACTGCGGGGTGTGTTGTTGCAAATTTTAATATAAGTTCCTAGTCACCATAAATGTAATAATTATTATTATTATTATTATTATTATTATTATTATTATTATTATTATTTGTACATTTTAATGTTAATATTCTAACAAGTGTGGGTCCTGGTGGTATATGTGTTATGCGAGTGCATCTGAATCTGATTTGTACATCTAATTTCAATACATATTTTACATCGTATACATATTTTGGTTAATGCCCATTGACGTGCCCTTTAATAAACATGTTTAGATTATTAGGATAATACTAAATTATATTCATTTGAACATGTTTAGATAAGGGAATGTTACCTTTACGTCGTTATTAGGGTTTTGAGAAGATAGCTCATTCCATGTGTTTAGACCCTGTACGTTATAGATCACACAACATGTTTGTTCCGTTTAGGATTTAAACACATTCCTGTACATGGTAAAATCTAAACATGTCTTGTATGTATACTCACAGTACTCCTATTCAAGATCTATTATATTGATGTACAAACGAGCATATTAGTATATTGCGTGAACGCATCACATGTGACGTCATAGATCCATGACTCGAGATGCGCCATTTGTCTCGTGCAGGATTAGCGTGTAAAGTTTGGAAATCATGCGCAGCATATCGTGACAAGAATAAAGACACTGTGGTAACACTTGACTGATTGTTAGTTTTGTCATTAAGTGGTACACCTTGGAAACATGTCTTCTGAACATACATGATTCTCTATATGTTTCTATGGTTCGCCTTTCTTTTGATGGTGAGTATATTTACACAATTTTTTGTAACAGTGCGTACGGTTAAAGCAAGTGAATTTGGAAATCGCCGCTTTTAACAGTGTTTCAGCTATTTCACAGTGTGTCGGCTTAATGTGTTGGCAAAACCAGACGGGATGCAGATTTAAAGCGTTTACCACTATCGTGAAGCCCACGAGTACGTGTATGTTACTAATAAACATAGACACATCATCAGGGCGAATCTGGATACAGTTAAATGTTATCCTTGATATGATACATGTCGGTTGGTTGGTTTGTTGTTTAACGCCGCACTCAGCAATATTACAGCTACATGTATATGACGGCGGTCCGGACAATCCAGTGATTAATATCATGAACATCGATCCACGCAATTGGGACCGATGACATGCATCAACAAAGTCATCGAGTCTGACCATCCCATCCCGTTAGTCGCTTCTTACGATAAGCAAAGCCGCCTTTTACGGCAAGCATGCATTGCTGAAGACCTATTCTACTCCGGATCTTCACGGGTCGATATGATAGATGTAATTTCTCGCGTTGTTATATTTTGGTAACAAAGAGTATAGGAAAATGATGGCCCAAATAACAAATCATGTTCAGTTAGTTTTTGTGACACTCATCCTGCCATGAGACGCCGGCATGTGAACACACCCAACAATCAAGTGATGAACCTGAAATCCTGTGACACGATAGCGCGTTTACTGATTTTGTAAACTCAAAACGATATATTAATTTTGAATTATGTCTGCTGTGAATGAATGAATGAATGAAATTCTTTATTTCCTCCAGAGTTGAATCCGAAGATTTTACATGGGCAAATACAATATTTACAATACATCAATGAAATCACTTGACTATATACAATGAAATCATGTTATACAGTGCTATGAATAAACAATTTACAATGTACATTTTGAGAGCAGTAAGGTAGCTAGTAGATATGCATAAGGTATTTCTTTAAATTAAATATGAAGTGGCAGAAAGACATTATGATGCTTTGCCATGTATCGTAATCAAGTTCGTTTGTCAGGTCATGGACATCTGCACCGAGAAAGAATGAAAGTATATCATCATCGTCAAGCATATCTGTTTTCACATATACATCTACATCAAGTTTATCAATCAGGCATGAGAAGAAATTATTTCGGTCAGGCATAAACATTTCACAGTGCAAAATAATATGGCAATCATAGTCATAGCAATGTCTATTACAATGGTTACATTCTTTCGACACTTTTGCTCTTGATCCGATTTTAATACAAAGTTGCAGGGGCTGTCTTAAATGTGGATAGAGATACATTACATTATAAAAAAAACTTGCATTTGTAACCGTTTATGAATTTTGGCCTCTGTGCTGGTCTCTCTCCAGACGTACAGTTCATTCTCTGATGGACGTCTGATTTAACAGAGCTCGCCAAGCCGATTTAGTTGGGAATGAAGCGCTATCAGTATATGCCTTTATATAGTTATCTAAATGGTATTTTTAGCTGTATATAGAAGGATGTTGCATATGCTTACTGGACGGCTAATATTGACAATAGCTTTGGTAGCAATGTGAGCACAAAATAGATCTTTAGTTATTGAATTACAATCGTTATTGCAGAGCCTTCCTAATAATTGTAGTCTGCATTTATCAATGTAGCCATTCATTGACTACATTCCAAAGTTAGAAATAGACGAATCAGTTGGATGTCTTTTACCAAATCCTTGTATGTGACGAGCAAAGTATTGTTGTGTACATTCAATCATCAATTATATCAATTGACATCGTATGAGCATATTATTCAACTATACCATATCTGTCACGATTGTCAAGAAAGTAATCAAATGTACAGGGTCGTCGTGTGAATATATTCCTGTAGTTTCCTTTCTCTTCAAGTGTGTGCTTATTTCTCTGTTATATAACGCCACACTCAAGTTATACGACGTCGGCCTGGCGCAGTCAAACCAGTGTTTGTTTGTTTGTTGTTTAACGCCGCTGTAAATAATCGATCTGGACCAGACAATCCAGTGATTGCTATCATGAGCATCGATCCACGCGATTTGGATCGATGACATGCATCAACCAAGTCAGCGAACCTGCCCGCCCGATCCCGTTAATCGCCTCTTACGACAGGCATGGGTTGCTGAAAACCTATTCTACCCCGGATCTTCACGGGTTAATATCATGAGCAACTGTCACGCATACGCATACGCATACGCTAATACGCATATGATGACACGTAATTACTGTCTGACCTCCACATCCATAAATTCGCCTCTTACAACACCCACAATGTAGGTTGCAGGGGTTCTTCTAACCTAGAGTCTTCACAGGGGACTGAATGTCTCCGACTGAATGACCAAAACAAATCAAGTAGCACGAGTTACTTTTATTGCCTGAGACTGTCTGTAGCAGGTACATATTCTATACCATGCAATTCATTTTTCGAGTCTCGGTATTTCTGTCACGTCGTGATGATAAAAGTTTCTATTTCTTGTCAGAACCGAGTGAAATATTTATGTCAGTAGACGCGTGAGAATGATTTCGCGTTTATTTTTTCTTTTGGGTCATCTAACATCATCTTTCACTTTTTCGCTTGAAAAATTTGAAGAAATCCCACTTAGTATTTTGTTTGATGAACGACTACACCCCACGAAAAACAATACCCCATTTCGCGTCTTCAAGTCGCCGAGAATAACGGAAAAGCACGTCATTGTCATGTAGATTTAAGCCCTGAACAAAGGGAAATCGTAGGCGCATTTGTACTGTGACGTTACAGAAGAAGAAGAAGAAGGAGAAGAAGAAGAAGAATGATATTTTATT